ATTGATTTTCAAAATACATGACTTTATGGTCAATTATATAGTAAATATCTTAGGATTTTCACAGTATAGTAAGTTTATCATTAGGGCAGTTTTTATTTTACTGATGCTGTGTACAAGTCGTGGTTACTAGATTGTACTACTTTATTGAACCCTAAGTAAACTGGTATTTCAGTAACAGAGTTTAAATTTGAGGCAATAGACTTATCATTAAAGAGTTTTAGAGTCTTTTCAAATTCTCAACACAATGGTAAAGATTTCTGTTTAGGGGAAGGAGTCTGTGAGGAGGGTGCTGGGAGCCCCTATAAAAGAGTTACTTAGGAGTCTACAGAAGAGAATCTGTCGTAAACTAAAAAAATAAAAGAAGTTCAATGTTGACCTGTAGTTGGCAAATCAGTTGACTATATGAAATTCTCTTTGATACAGTTTTTACTGAACACTTCAGTCTGATCCTATAGTAGGTTCAGTTTAACAGATATTTTATGAGAGCCCTTTATGAGCTGGGCACTGTGCTAAACATTAGAGATAAAATTATCAAAATGTGGTCACTGTCCTTACAAAAAGATAATCACAATACAAACAGATAAGGGCAGTCAAAGAGATGGGGACAGGGTCCCATATGAGAGCCTGAGAGGGAATCCATACCCAGGTGTGGAAGTGGGGAGATGGGGAGCTGCAGGTCAGGGTCAGTTGGAAGAAGTGATACTTAATGTTAGACAAACTGTCTGTGAATTTTCGTCTCAATAAGAACAAATATAAATGTGGGGGAAAGGACACATATGTAATAACTTAATCAATAAAAAATTTTAAAAAAGAACAAATATAGAAAAAAGATCACATCACATTATGAGAAAATACCAAAGTAAAACAAACAAACAAAAATATGTCTTTCCATCTTCTAATCTAATCAATGGAACAAATGATATATGTATTTTTGAAGCTACAGTAGAGGGTTGATTGTTATTCAACCAGGTTCTTCTAAGAAATAAAATTCTTGGATTTGCTCAAACTCATTCCAAAGCATATTGTTCAAAATCGATTAAATTTAAGGTATTCTTACCTCCCAGGAAAGTGATAGATTGGATGCTTAGCATATAATGCTAATATAGCAATAAGTTAGAAGTTCTTTTAGAAGTAATTCCATAGACTTGATTCAGGGTGTATAGAGCAGATGAGTTTTCATTTTTGCACATACTTTTTCTACACAATCAATGCAGTCTGCAGTCTGCTTATGCGGAAAATCAGTTTCCACTTCCGTCCATTTGATTTGGCAACAGCTCTTGGTATCCACAAAAACTACACGATGACTGTTGTTGCTGAACGCCTGAATTGCTTGGGAATAGGTTTTGAGATTTGTCTTACCTCCATGGTTGTCTTAAAAATTTATTCTATCAAAATGGATTTTTTAGAAGTCCTTGAGTCCTTCCTGACTGGTAATGCATTCAAAAGAAATGACGTAGGGGTTTTGGCACAGTGATTCCATGTGCTAGGATGAGCTTCCATTCCCAGTACTGTTATGGTAAAAGAAACCTTTGAGAATCGCTTAGTTAAATCCCTTAATCTTATCACTGAGAAAGACTAAGGCCCAATGAAGCCCAGTGGGCTGCTCACATCCAAGATGTGATGGTGCCAGGATGCTGCGAGCCTTAGTCTTCATCTTCCAAGCTCAGGGTCACTGACACCTTACGCTTTAATGTACATGCAAATCTCCCGGGGATCTTGATAAAATACAAACTCTTATCCAGTAGTTCTGGACTAGGGCCTGGGATTCTGCATTTCCACTAACAAGAACCAGAAGATGCTGGTGCTCTTGGTCCATGGAGCACACTCTGAAAAATAATAAGGCTTCACACTAGGAAAATGTATCTGAGTGAAGATCAACATTAGTGAAAGGATAGTTCTAGCTTAGACATAGCTGATAATTCCAAAAAGAATGGGCTTACCTTAAGCTCTAGTGTTACTGTACCAAATATTCTGTATCATCTTATGATAAACCACCATCCCATAATGCTAGTTTCCTGGGAAACATCATTATAGAATTTCATACCATTTATAAAATTGATTGGGTGAGATTTTTTTTATCCCCTTCACCTGGTTGTTCTGTGCCCTCTGATCTCAAAACTGTCATCTAAGATGCATACATGATAATTTTCTAATAAATGTATATTTCTTCTCTTAAGAGACTCATAAGTGCATTCCTGACCTCAAATAGTTATAGTGTTCTCTCTCTCTCTCTCTCTCTCTCTCTCTCTCTCTCTCTCTCTCTCTCTCTCTCTCTCCTCTCCTCTCCTCTCCTCTCCTCTCCTCTTCTCTCCCCTACACAGACACACAAACACACATTATTCACATATCTTATACTGAGTTCTTTGTATGAAAAAAGTGGATTATTGTGTGAACAATATTAGAATTTTAATTTTTTTTTCAAGAAGGCAAACAGGTAAGATGAAATAATCATTGTAGAATACATTTAGTTCTGAAATTACCTCCTTAATTACAGGGTATGTCTATATGGATTTATAGTCCTGGTTCAGAAACAAATACACAAAAACCCCAAATACTTTCAAAATTTATGTCAAATACATTATATGGAAAGTAGGTTTCCATGCATTTTTCTTGTATATATATGAAGACATTCTTACTGAAGCATGTAGAGTGATGTCTTTATGAGAAGTAACCCAGCCTCAAAGGTTATAGTTTTTATTTCTTTATTTCTCTGAGTAGGTCTTCCTCTATTTACTGAAGCAAAAATATTCTAACCAAAAATAACCAACTAATTTATATAAAATTGACTTTGAAGAGCTCAAAAGGGCCATATCAATCAATACAAGGTGTTTGTTGTTAAGCTCATTTATATTATTGTTAATGATCATTTATACTTTAAGTTTACACGGGTTCACGTGAGGCTGAAAATTTGGAACTGCCAGTATTTTATCTTTCATGCCATTCTTCATAAAGTAGGAGAATCAGATGTGCCAAATCACGTGATAACATTTTTTGGCATTTAATTTGGCTTTAAGGGGAATTTTTTTAAATCATCCCTGTATTAGTAAAAATAAATAGTTTTGTTCACTTCTCTTTGATGCCAAAAGATAGTGTTTACTCTTATTTGCTCTGGGGAAGAAAGGGTTGTGTGTAAATCATGAGGTATGTGCTGTCAGAACTCAATTACATTAGGTGCTTTGCATGATGTTCATGGTTTATATAAGCTATTAGTAATAATCATGGCCTTGGGTGTTGAGCATCTGTAAGTATATTTGCTTCTTAGAATCTTTCGATGGCCCTAGTAACACTAGAGCTTAAGGTATGCCCATTCTTATTAGAGCATGATAGTGGGTAAAATGAATTCAATCTGAAATGCTTTTGTCACTGGAATAACAACACAAAAAGAGTAGTTGTAAAGGACTTCCATATTTAGGGACAATAGCTCCACTACAAGAACAATAGTATATCAATTCTAGAATTTTGATAAGTGAATATATGTGAGTGAATAAAATTTAAATTTTATACAATTTCCAAATAGTTTTACCTCAAAAGCAAAATGACATCAAGTACTACTGTAGAAGTTTTAATGTTTAAGTGTTAACAATGTATTTGTATTTAGAATAGTTGAATGAAATGAAATTTGTTCTAATAAAAATGGGCCTCTTTCACTTTCAACATTAAAAATGAGACCTAATATGTAATATATATTTTTAATACAGGGAATGTAGTTTCTCTTGTCAGTAATCATTAGGGTGCGAAAGTGCTTGACTTTGAGTGCAATTTGATGACTTAACTTATAAAAATACCTATGAAATAAGTGCAAAATTGAATGTTTATAAAAGTAAAAGCTCAGAATGATTTAAATAATTGAAGGTTATGGGCTCTCATGTAAGCTCTCACCAAAACCAGTGTTTTGTCTTGTTTTTAAGTTATTTTCAATGACAGCTGGCAATGCAATATTATATTAGTTTTAGGTGTAAAAATAGTGATTAGATATTTATATTCCTTACAAAATGGTCACTCTTATTAACATAAGAAAAGTCAAGGATCAGTGACAACTAAGGAGATGCCAAAGGGAAAATGAATTAGCTGCCCAGGTCTTGCCAGCCCCATCCAATTTTTCAACCTCACTCTAGTTAAATTTCAGTTAACTTATGAAGACTGAAGCATTTCAATAACAACAAAAATATATACCCACAGTTTTCATGGGACATGGTTTTCTAAATGTTTTTTGTCTTTTCTTTTCTTTATGTTGTTCAGTCACCAGGTCATTTGTAGGAATCTCCATATTCCGTAGGAGGAAAATTGCCAGTCTGAAAGTTCAATGTCCTTAGCGTTCTATTGCTTATCACATTTTTGCCCTCTAGGTGCCAACCTGGATTCACTGGAGCAAGATGTACTGAGAATGTGCCCATGAAAGTCCAAAACCAAGAAAGTATGTTAAAATAATCTGAAATTTGCTTTTTCCCCCAAAACTACAGCAACAAGCACTACCACTTGGTGTTTTTACAGCTCAGTTGTAACGGATTCCTTTTGTTCGAATTATGGTTTCACCACTCGGGGCATAAGTCATTGAATCTGACCTTGTTCAGCTGTCTCACAACATGGGCCCAAAAGGTCATCAATTTAAAAGAAAGACCCACCAGGGTGTCCAGTGATGCTGGCAACCATGGCGGGCAGGCCAACCAAAAAAGCGCCCTTCCAAATGTTGAGTGAAGTTATCAAATGGCAAACCGAGATGATGTTTTAATTTTAAGTGGCTCCCTTTGAAAGAAAGCAGTCACTTAAAATGCTGGGATCTTCCTGTCATACAAACACGAGGACTGCATTTGGTCCAGATTTCTAACCCTTTGGGGGAAACGCCAGAGTCTGAAAACCATGATTAGGACAAAGACTCCGTTTCTGAGGGTGAACTCACCAAGTTCGGTCAAATGACACTGAAGGAGCTTCTTTCTAGCATATATTCACCTCTTCTCTTTTTCTCTGTTTTTTCTACCATTGTTTTTTGTTTCTTCTCTCAGGTGCCCAAATGAGTTTACTGGTGATCGTTGCCAAAACTACGTAATGGCCAGCTTCTACAGTACGTCCACTCCCTTTCTGTCTCTGCCTGAATAGGAGCATGCTCAGTCGGTGCTGCTTTCTTGTTGCTGCATCTCCCCTCAGATTTCACCTAGAGCTAGATGCATTTGACCAGGTCTAACATTGACTGCCTCTGCCTGTCGCATGAGACCATTAACAAAAGCGATTGTATTACTTCCTCTGTTCATGGCTAGTTGGCTCTGAGAACCTAATAGGTGTGTGAGGCTCCCAGTGTTTCTGAAATTGATATTGAATAATGTGATACAAAATGATAGTCAATATCAAGCAGTACATTTATAATAAAGGCATTGAAAAGTCTCACTTTTATTGATAAAATAAAAGCATTCCACTGAACAGTCCATCTTCTTTATAAAATGACAACATCCTGAGAAAGATGTTGCTAAGTTGTAACCAGTATGCACTTGAAATGATGGTAAGTTAAATTTGGTTTCAGAATGTATTTATAACGAATAAACGTAATAAAAAGAGTTCAGATGTTTTTCTTCATTAACCAGCAGTTTGCATTTAGGTATAAAAAAAGCACTGAGTAGGAAAATTAGTAACAAACAAACATTTCACAGCAAATGAGAGAGCCTGGCTTCTATTTATGTTGCTTAGGAAACAAGTGATTCAGAACTAGTTTAAATAATCATTTGTTTATGTTAGCATATCTTTATTGCTAGTTTCAATGGTAATTTTAAGGGAAAATAGATTTTTTAATATTTATTATTTACTTTGAAATATAACAGTTCACCTCTAGATAATATATTTCTGTTCTTTTTTAAAAATACATTTTTATTGATTTCAGAGAAGAAGGGAGAGGGAGAGATAGAAATATCAATGATGAGAGAGGATCATTGATTGGCTGCCTCCTGCACGTGCCTCACTGAGGATTGAGCCCACAACCTGGGTATGTGCCATGACTAGGAATCAATCTGTGACCTCCTGGTTCATAGGTTGATGCTGAACCACTGAACCACACTGGCTGGGCTAGATAATATTTAATGCAGAACTGAGAAATGTTAGTGAGTTTCTATGGCTCCATGAACATCATTCCTAAACAGTGCAATTCATGTTGCATATTATGGCATGGATAACTGAACTATGTACTTGTCATTCTATTGTGAATTGGGACTATAGCTTTTAATACTGGGGCTTCCAAGGTATTGTATTTAACATGGATTCCATAAAGCTATTCATTTAGATCAAAGGTTGACAATTTTTTTCTGTAAAGGATCAGACAGTAAATACTGACTTAACTCTACCATTGTGGCACAAAAGCAGCCATAGACAATGCATAAAGTGATGAACATGGTTCTGTAGTATTAAAACTTTATTTATAAAAAGCAGGCAGTGGGCTGGATTTGTCCACCTCTGATTTAGAGTATCAGTTGCTCGCCCTGCATATAACACATAGCTCATTGCAATGTAAATTTATGTAACACAAGAAACAGTGATAGGAGCTGGTCATCTGGGGGCTCTAAAAGAGTGGATTTATCCTTATTCAGATGCACGCAGCGAATAAGATTCAGTCCCTCAGGTTAACAGTCCTAGAGTAATAAGTGCCATTGAAAAATAAATTTCCTGTGCATCAGGGGGAGATTAGACCCATAATATTGAATCATTTATTGAGTGAAATGGTATTAATTATATATTTACATGGGCTACATATCAAATATTATTTTTTAGCCATTTTCTGTTGTAAAAAATTGGTAAATTGATATTACTAAATTTTCAAATGCAATCTTCACTTTGTTGACAAATCTTGAAATCATATGCATTTAGTGAACAGAATTTTTCTCTCCATAGCTATAGATTAATTTTTCAAAAGTAGGTAAGATGGAAAGTGAAAATAGAAGGAAAATAAGAGAATTTATATATTAAAGCCATTCCTTTCAGAAATTATGTGTTGGTATTCAAACAATATAGATTTAGCAAGTCCATGTAACTGTATAAATGCAATGAAATTATACTTTATAATTTAACAAAAATTCTGAACACTTGCATTATACTAAAAATTTTGGTGTTACATCGTTTTGTTGTGCACTGAAGGCAATATTGGGCCACTGCATAGAGAAAAGCATTAAAAATGGAGACATTTCTAAAAATAATAATGCCATTGGATCTGACAGTTATAACCAGAGAAAATATTCTCAACTTCTCTTTGAGAGCATTTTCTGTCCTAAGATATTATTTAAAGATCCACACTGTGTATTGAATCAAAATGTGACTCCTTGAACAAACTCTTTCGTGAGCTTTTGGAAGACATCCAGAAAAGCAGCGTTCCCATTTAACCTGATTTAACAAAGATCGATCCTAAGCACATTTATGAACAGAAACTGCAATGACTGTGCATTGGTGCTGCCTCATGCCCAGAAAAGCAAGGCCCTCTGATCAGAAACTGCTTCCCTAACTTGTCTAGCCCAGAGTTAATTTTCTAACCTCTGTGTCGTAAATTCTCAATGTTTATTTCTGCACACTCCCCCGTAGAAGACAGGAAAATAGATGTTTGCTGTTCTAAGAACTTTATGTTCAGTAGCAATGAAGGCTGCACAGAGAATAAAAAACATAGCCACAGTGGTAATGTTTAAAATGTACTTGTTAGTGTTCATAAAGTCTAAAACACAGGACATAAATTTTAAAAGAAATGATATTCCCCAGCTTTAAAGAGAATCATTTTTTTAACTTGCCAAACCACATTTCCAGTGGAAAAATAATGTTCCAAAAGAATGTCCAACTTTTACAATGCTTATTAACACATAAATTACATTATCAGGATTTGATGCAACTTTTCTGGTTAGAATTTCCTATGGGGCCTTTTATTGATTTATCAGAACTGATTTAAATAATAAAAAGAATGGAACAAATGTTTATTTTATATGGCTTTTGTGAAGGCAGCCATGTGCCTTGAAATAAAACATATTTATAGTGCTTCCTAGGAAAATATTGCCAAGGCTAGTCAGCTTCAAATTTAACCTATGGACACAATTCCTACTTCAAAGGATTGTGTTAGTGTGTGTGAGTGTGTGTGTGTGTGTGTGTGTGTGTGTGTGTGTGTGTGTGTACAGGCAATCCATAATCAATTTATAGACTTTATGGAGAGGGGAATAAAACATTGAAGGCTTCAATAGTTAGAGGAAGTATGGGGCAAGTATGTCATATATAAACTAACATTTTATAGGAAGTAATTACAGAATAGCCCAAACTATAGAATACTTTAAAAGAGTGCAGTTTTAGAACTTTTGGCCTATTCTCAGAATGACTAAATTTAGCAGATATCCTTAAAAATAATTTTGAATCATAGGTTACTGCTGCACAAATTACTTATGTTGATTTCTAAATCTTTAAAAGCAAGTTATTCATTCATTTATCAAACATGTATCTTGCTAACAGTAGAATAAAGGCACATCAATCTCCGACAAAATTATCATGAATTCCACCAGAGTGTAGTGAGATTTTGCTGTGTGTGTGTTTGTGAGTGTGCTCTTGTGCACATGGAAACCGGAGTAAGGAGAGAGTCTCCTATTACATTTGTAAAGGTAAGTTGAAAATTAAAAAGTGAGACATGAAATTGGTCCCGTTTAGAATTGACATTGACAGAACTCCTTTAGAAACCTCAGAGGTGCAGAAAGGCAAGACGATACACAAGTCTCTCGGGTTATTTCCATAAGGAGACCCAGGACGTTAAAGAATTAAGTCCCGAATGTCTTCAAATTTTAACAGAAACCATAATTGCATGAACATGTAACTTTGGTCAAAGAAAGTTGTTTCATTGTTCATTTCACTAATGGAATAGAAAATTTAAATTAACCTGCAGGTTAATCAGTTTTCTTCAAACAATTATAAAATCCTTTATAAAGCAAAGGATTAGTGAGTCAATATTTAATAGTTTCTGAAGACTCTCGGATTTAAATTAAATTTTTATATTGCTTACTGCACAGCAGGAAATCACATGTAGAAAAGGAAACTGAATTGTTTACAGTAACCTTTGTGTTTTTGAATTATTAATTTAATTTGAAAATGGAGTGGCTAGGCAGACATTCAATAGGAAGTGTATGATGCATAATGAGCCCAAGCCAACATTAGATTAAATAGAATAGATAGAAAGTAATAACCTCTTTAGGAAATGAAAAGTGTTTGTGTATTATTTTTTTCTTGACTCACAATGAAGAAACGTAGCCACTGATAGTAAAAATAAATTACAGGAGTGTTTGCTCCAGGTCTAGAATGACTGATGCATGTTTCCTCTGCTTGTTTCCTTGTTAGGGCTTATGGCCAGAAGAGATTCCAATTTTAAGTACCAATTTCCCTTTGAATTATTTGAAATTGGAGCTGCCTGATATGAATGACTTCCCATGAAATGAAATTATAGTTAGGCTCACAGACTTACCTATAAATGTAAATGCAGTAATATGTATGCATGGGCATGCTACTAATTTTATTGAAGACTTAACCAAGCTTTCTGTGCACCTAATGCAGATCATTAGCAGTGTTCACGTAGGCATGGAGTAATGATTCTCTGGGAAGAGTTTCTGTAGATATTTCTTGATTTTTTTAACCCTTAAATTGTTACTGACTGGTAGGAGCAAAAGGCAAGAGATAGAGTTTTAGGGAGGAATTTTGAGTCACATCCTCATGAAAATTTCTAAGGAAATTTATTATCACTCCCTCTGAACATGAATTTTCATACCTGGTGTTCCAAAGTTTACATGAAGGGAACAAATTGAAGAGGAAAAAAAAAAGAAAGTCCATTTGTCAAATTGTTGCACAAAGGCAAGAGACATTTGTTTTGATTTGAATACATTTGTTTTGCTGTGAACATCGTGCAGCCAAATCAACCCCATATCCTCTGGTTTTTAATTTATGAAAAATGTAGTTATTTGCCTGAATACCCTGGACCCAGGCAGAGGGACTCCCTATTATATCTAGTGCCTTTCTCTATCATTGTTACTCAATGAATTATTTGATTTTTTTTAAATCTGTGAAACCTCATTTTCTTAAGAGGTGGCGAGTTTTTAAAGTCTAAATTCTTGAGGTATCCCAGGAGCTTTCAGAGTTTTCCTGGCTATGAAATTAGTCAAAAGTAAATCTCCATGCAGTAACTGGCCCAAGGGGAACATCCAGATGAGAATGTTCTCCAAGCTGTTAAACCCTTTGGCCACTGGCCGACCCATTTCACGGCTTCTTTATTCCATAGGGTCACCCTGTGAGGCTTGTGTCAGTATCATAAGCATTTGGTCAATGAGCAATTAACTTGTCCAAAATCACTGAACAGGCAAATGGCAGAGGCAGGACCTGAAACCAGGAAGGCTCCAGCTCTCTTAGCTCCTACCCTTCCCTCTCTGTAGGAGGCGCTTTGTCCGGGCCCAAACCGATGGCTTTGTAAGAGAAGTCCCCCTCTGCCAAACTTAAGAGGTGTTTTTTCATATTGGTGGACCGCCCTGGTGTCTCTTTAATCAGGGATCAAGGGGAGGAATGTAGACTCCTGACTTCTGTTTTCATTCTGGCCCTGCCTCGCCATCACACTATGTGCTCCTAAAGGGCCCCATCTGGTAGAATTTGATTAATCATTTTTGTTTCAAAGATGGGAAGTGTCATTTCTAGAGCTTTTTTCTTCTTTGCCTTATGTTCCCCCTCTACCCATTTAAGCCCATGCAGGTCCTGCCAGGCCTGTAATCCTGGCGCCTCTGCGGGAGCGCAGGCTGGGGGCTCACACCTCTGAGTTCCCTTCCTGGCCTGCCCTTGCGTCCTCTGGATGCCTGTGCCTGTCTCAGAGCTCAGCACTGTGGAGTGATCATCTGATCGGCTCTCTGTTATTTGAGGGAGTAATAAAATTAACTAAAAGCTGCAGGAATTGTATCCTCCCCCTCACCGCCCCCCTTTTTTTTTTTAACAATTTGAAAAAGGCATTAAGTGTTTGCTGTGCCATACAGGAATGACAGGAGGAAGCTGGAAGCAGGTTCTGATGCCCCAGTGCCCTCTCTGGTTTTTGGAGTAGAAATGTTTGTTAATATCACATGAGGGGTGGAGAAAGTAGAAAGTTAGGAGACAAGGAGATAGAGTTGTTTTTTGTAATATATTTTATTGATTTTTCACAGAGAGGAAGGGAGAGGGATAGAGAGTAGAAACATCGATGAGAGAGAAACACCCATCCCCTGGCCGGAATCGAACCTGGGACCTTTCAGTCCACAGGCTGATGCTCTATCCACTGAGCCAAACTGGTTAGGGCTTGAGTTTGTGTTTTATTAGTAATTTTAAAATTCTTACCCAAAGATGATTTTTTTTTTTAAAGAGAGAGAAGGGAGAGGGAGAGAGAGAGAGAAACATGAATTGATTGCCTCAAGTAGGCATCCAACTGGGGATTGAACCCCCTACCTGGATATGTGCCCTTACTGGGAATTGAACCCTCGACCTTTCAGTATACAGGGCAATGCTCCAACCAACTGAGCCACAATTGCCAGGGCAAGGAGACTGTGTTTTTAAAAATCAACAAGAAAGATGAGAGCATAACCAAAGAAAAATATAAATCCAATATAATAAAATTTTCAGACTAAATTTTTAAACTCATGGCTTCTATTCCTGGCTCTGCCACTGTGTGTCTTAGGGGAAAATAATTTCATCGACCTGGAACTTTGCCTCTACCTTTTAAAAAGATAGGGATGAAATAATGCCAAATGCCTTTTGTAATTATAAATATGATATTTCTATTCCTAAACAACATGGGAGCAGGAGCGTAGAGACTAGTTCAGCTATACAACTTCTCCCTCAGTAAAGTCTTTTAAGGGTTAATAAAGTCTCAGTGTGCCGGTATTTGCACACTCCTTGAAAGAGAAGTTCCCTTTGTGGACTCCGGGGGGCGTACCTGAGCACTGCTTCACTAACAACCACCATTTGTCCTGTTCAATGTGCACGCACAGAGAGACGTAGTAGTCATGTGTAATGTGTTTTGGAGTGCAGTGTATTACTCTTTTCTGAAACTTTTTCCCTTTCTTTCTTTTTTTGTCAACTTTCTGCATTGGCAGAGCATCTTGGGATTGAATTTATGGGTATGGACCAATCATCATTCCTTTTAGCCTGCAGAATTTAGAGCCTATGAGCTGAAATCTTTTTCCCTTCCTACTCTTACCTTTCAGTTCCTAACTAATTTCCTTTTTCTTTAGAAGGGATCATACAGCTATAACTAAAGTGATTGTCCCACTTTCAATCTATGATTAGTTTACCCAAAATGTTATTGAGCACAGCAGCTTTTAGATTCCCAAGCTTCACTTAGAGTTTAAAATCACCTCACCTGCTGCAAATTCACATACATCCCACCTTCCTTGACCCACTGATTGGATCTGGCCATGATGTTATTTAAGAGCTGGGGTAAGTTGGGATGACATACAAGGTTACAGGAGGAAACAAACCAGGGGCTTAAGAACCAAAGAAGTTTTAAATATTACACCCTAAAAAAAACAAAAAAACAAAAACCACATCTTAGACTGATGGGAGTTTGACATACAATATAAAAATCATATGCAATATAGTAACATAGAAAGCCCTTACATTGCAACACAATATGACATGAACAGACATGAATTGCTCTGATTTTCTGGAGCTATTCAAGCATGACTCTAGTCAGCTTCATTATCTCCTGAGCAAGGAAATAGAAAACAGAAAGATATAAGCCTTGTGCTATTTTAGGTGGAAATTCTAGTGCTAATGGAATTAAACTTGAGTCACTAAGATTATCCAGACAAGTAATCAAATACTGTAAACATCAAATATCTCCTAGGAGCATATGAATTTGGAGCATGCTCCTTCTGAAGGCCTTCGTCCTAAATAGTTGATAGAAAAGGTCAGTCTTGGGAGGAGGGGAAGCCGTGCTACCTTCCCAGAGGCTCCACTGCACAGGCACCAGGCCTCATGAACACTGCACACAGCCCTGAAATGGGTAATGGTTAACAGTGTCCTGATTAACAGAATACCTGCTCCCCATCCAGCTAGTGTCAGTGACAACATACAGGGAGGGCACCCTCCAACTGCTCTTTCATTTTGGCTGATAACCTCACAGTTGACAGCTAATGCACTTTCCAGTATTTGTGGGAAATGAGGCTGTCGCAGGCTCTACCAGTTGCAGGAATAGAAACTCAATGAATTGTCCATTCTTCCAAAAATCTTCCAAGAGAAAACCATTTAATGAGAAATCCCCCGCATTTATATGTGGTCTTTGAACATCAGAGAACACCTCCCAAGAGTGAGAGGCAAGAGAGGGCCTAACAATGGCACTTGAGTGGCAGGTCGCCTATATGAGGGGAGTTATCTATATGGTTTACTTCCCTTGGGATAAAAAATGACCCACTTCTGAAAAGGCTTATTAGCCTTTCCTGAACGAGGAAGAGCTTTCCACCATCACCTTCCTTCTTCTCCCCAACAGCATCTTTTCTACTTTATCACATTGGAGTCTGACTATAGAATTTATTATTCCCATTCCTGAGCAAGGAAGTGAGGTAAAGGATAGTTTCGATATACCAATTCGCCCTTAGTAAGATCGTAAGAGTTAATAAAGACTCCACAGTCCCAAGACTAGACCAGTCAACCCTTAAGGAAAGTCAGACCTTAAAGGTCAATTAAAACTGAGAAAGACAAGGCCTCTGTCTCTTGGCCTGGCCAGATCCTACTGAAAAACATGCTCAATCTGATTCACTGAATGTCCAGCCAAACCAAAGAGCAAAGTCTCAGCAGCTTTTCCACTCATTACGGCCGAGCTGCCAATTGGACCGAGGGCTTCTCTTTTTCAGCACTGCCTCTAATTTACTATTGTCCTATTGACCCCATTTTACACTAGGAAAAAAATAAGGAGGAAAAAAAAGGGGGGTGGGGTATTTATATTATTTTCATCAAGTATTTTTCTCTTAACATTCATATTGTGGGGGCGACCTGACCTAGGAAATCATTGGAAAATCAAACAGAAACAGATGAGAAACATTGAAGGCAGTCAGTAAATGCTGATGGGAATACAGAATCCTAGTCCCACATCTGTGTTCTGTGGGCCTTGGCTTTCATGGGTCATCTTAGCACTTTTGCTTGACCCCTTGGCCTTTATTGTGCTGCCCTTTTATTTCCATGACTGATCTCACAGGGAAATGTGTGCCTTCTTACAGAACATAGGAAGAATGCCAGGTATTCAGAAACCCAGGTCAAACTATTCTTTTATTATTAACCATCAAAAACGTGTCAAAAGAATCCCTGAGAGTATATGTGATGCTTGGTCTTCCTTTAGTCCTTGGCTAGAGCCCATGTTTTTAGTTTGCAGAAACCATTTCTCAGTGTTCCTTCAGATACGATGGTAAGATGTCAACGCAACCAAGCCCTTACTATTTTAAAAGAAGAAAAAATAGAGTGAGTGAAAAAGGACACAGAAGGCAGGGTCTTCATTTTCTTGGAAATAATACGTGTGCACTCCAATTTCTTAACCAGCTCGCAGGAACCAAAGGAGCCTTGCTCTGCGTCCTGGGTCCCCTGGAGGACCAGCAGGGAGGTGCTGCCTCTGCTGCTTGACATAGATGCTAAATACTGATCTGGATGCCAGGTCATGGAGGAGGCTCCAGTGGCACCAGCTCACAGATTAGCACCCCATAAAATGTAATTCCCTGTCCTGTGGCTATGGGGGAGGAGAGGCAGCAGACACAAGCAATTAACACATCAGCATTCACATTCCACTCCTCACTTGACTTTTTGCGGCACAAAAATATGTGACACCACTTTTATGTCTCCTGGTTCATTGTTGCACCGCAGTGCACCAGCTGCTTCGCTTCCTAATTGTGGCTTCCCTGTGCTGGCCAGCCTAGGTTAGGAGTTATGCTGTATGGGGTAACCCTTCCAACTTCGCACCCACCTGTGCTTCCTACCTGAGCATTTCCTCCCTCCGGTTTTCTTTGTATTTGTTTCTTTTTCCTCCCTTAGTATCAGGCATGCTGTGCCAGGGACTTCAGATGACTCCTCCACTTCTAACCTTGTTTTGCCTTGACCCTGACTGCCTCCCTCCCTCAGTCATTCTGTCAGTCTGTCTGTCCTCCTCGGTTTGTTTTTCCTTCCCACTTCCAACCCTTCTGGTTTGTTTTTGTCTAATCTCTGTGGCATTCTAGTCTTTTACCCACTGACTTCTGTTCTCCTCCTCCTCCTCCTCCTGTTAATAATCAGTGCTCTATTAATTTGATTTGACAATGTTCCTGACCTGTTAACTGGAATTTGATTACCGTGGGCTTGGCTTGTAGGAAATGTTTTGTATAATGATAAGGTCCACTGTGTCACAGAAATTAAAATGCACTTTTTCATTTCAAGGAAACTTCCTGCAAATTGCTCTCTTTCAATAGAGAAAAGAGGTGTGGTCGCTGAGACTGAGAATGTCAACTGGAAATGTTCAGAAGGCCCATGTTGATGCCCGGATAAGAGGCGTTCATTCCTATAGGGTGTCCCAAGATTCACGCAAGATTTTCAATTGAATTGAATTGAAAATCTTGCGTGAATTTTGGGACACCCTATATAATATCCCCCAGATCTTGACCAGCCTGTTAATCAGAAAACCAAGCACAGCTGACCCTGCTTGTTATGTACTGGTTGAGTTCTCTTTCTCAATGACCTGCAAACTAACTTCCAATAAGTGTAATTAAACTGGTTGGAAGTTCAGCTCCTAAGGCAGTGGTTCTCAACCTTTCTGATGCCGCGACCCTTTCATACAGTTCCTCATGTTGTGGTGACCCCCAATTTCATTGTTATAAATTGAACATAATTAAAGCATAGTGATTAATCACAAAAACAATATGTAATTATATATGTGTTTTCCGATGGTCTTGGGCGACCCCTGTGAAAGGGTCGCTCGACCCCCAAAGGGGTCGCGACCCACAGGTTGAGAACCGCTGTCTAAGGGATCAGGTTCACCATTAAGTCAGCCAACCTTGTTAAGAACCTGATCTACCATAGAATCAATCAAGTTGTCCACCCCCAAAAAACTATTTTGCAAATAGAAAGACTTTCATGCATAAGAGACTGGTTGCATTTGAGGTACAATAGTACCTTTACTTCAAAATTCTAACTCACACCTCCTTAGTGTAATCTACATTAGCTAATTTGCCATGTTGGTCAATGCAGGAATGTATAATCTATTCCAAATTACATATTATTTGTGCTAGTTATTCCTTTATACAGATAGAGGAGGAGTCTAAGTGCAATTGGTGACGTAATAATAATTGTCCTCCGAAGAACAAGTCTTCACCTTTGCCCAGGACTGTCTTAGCCACCAGATTGGATTTTCTCTGATATAGTGTCTTGCTACTCCACATCCTGTGGCTTATGTTCACATTTTACTGTGAAATCATACGGATCCTGCCCTGATTTGGTTGCTCACTACAAGCCAAGCTCATGTTCGCAAATGTCTTTGAGTTTATTTCGTTAAGTTATAAATGGTTCTCTGTAAAGACCACTGGAATATACAATACCTGGGAAATCAAAAGTGACGGGGGGTGGAGAGAGAAAGGAAGAGAGGAGGGTCCCAGTGGTGCCAAACCCAGCTCCTTTTATTGGCGTTGATTCCTGTTGTCTTTGCAAGAGATTTTTTTAAAATAAAAGTACAGTTTTAACCAAATAGTTACCTTGTAATCAATGTTTATGATTTGCTAGTTTAATTCATATATATCGATAGTTTATAATTAAAGTAATATTATGGCATACTGTTTTTTATTGTAAATGGCCCCATCTGGCTTTGTTGTTTATACTCACCACATAGAGCAGTGTTATGCTGTACCTTAAGTATGTCTGCAACAGTAATGAATTGTCACATGTTTATTTCTTGTGACCATGGATAGTGCCATGCAGCATGCCAACTGTTCAATTGTAAGTCCGGGCAAGGGTCAGGGGCCTTTGGTGACATCTGCTCTCGTCCCTTTCCAGAAGCAGAGGAGCTCTACCAGAAGAGGGTGCTGACCATCACTGGCATCTGCATCGCCCTGCTAGTGGTCGGCATCATGTGTGTGGTGGCCTACTGCAAAACCAAGTAATCCTTCCTCCCCGCGCTGCTCCCTCCTGACAGAAACCCATCTCCACAGCCCTGTCTTGGGGAAAAAAAGGGGGGGAGGGACCCCAGGAGGACTTTTCCCCTTAGTTTTTCTTCTGAATCATCCATTTGAGCACCTTTCCTAATCACATAATTAGCAGGCACTGCCTATTGGTGTGAAAATGCTGAGGAGAGAGGAGACTTCTGATGAGTGACCACAGCCCCCTGACCAGAGAAAGGGCTGGGCGGGCAGGCTTGTATGGGGCCCACACGTGTGCACGTGTGTGCGCATGTGGATGTGAGAGGAGGGTGGCGGGTGCAAGAAGTGCACTTGTCAAACACTGCTGGGGACACGTCCAGTTTGCAATTACCACTCGAAGATAAAGGAAACACTTTGGTGGCATTTGAGATGCCGTTTTCTGAGCATTCGCCTGATTATTTTTTTAATTCCATCCAATGAAGTTTCCAGCTCAGATGCTCATGAGTGTGAGATGTACAAAAGGAATCTTCTGAGAGGAAAGTCAAGGGAAACTTGCTTTGGAAGAACAAAAGGGAAAATATTAAAACAGATTTGTGTTCACTATTTTTGATCCTTTAAACTGGGTCCATATTAACAAATGTAATCACTTTGTGACACAAATTCCCTCCACTTTCTGACGTATGACCTCCACTTCAAGTCTAAACAAATAGTAACAGTTTTGTTTTGTTGCTTCATCACATAAATTTTCTTGCCAAAGCAAGTCATGGGGATATTGTTATGATCTGAATGTTGTGGTGAGGAACGAAGACAGTGCTTTTAGTCCATAAAATCCAGGGCATAGATGGAGTTTTCCTACAACCCCAGAGCTGTGTGCCAGAATTGAGTAAGCGACAGAGATAAGCCTTCATGGAGTCACCTTAAGAGTTATTTATTTATTTATTTATTTATTTATTTATTTATTTTAAATCTTTATTGTTGAAAGTGTTACATAGGTCCTTCTTTTTTCCCCCTTAACCTGTTCCCTTAAGAGTCTTTTTAGATATTTTAATACCTAGTCATAAAAAAAAACCAGTTGCCAAAGTACAATTCTGTTACAATTGTGCCCAAATCTACAGGCCAAATATGCACGTTTTCACTCGTGTACAGTACTATGCACGCACACACACCATGGATCACGTGCAGATTCAAAACTAACTGCGTTTTCTAAAGGCCAACAGGCAAAATTACAAATGAAATCAGCTCTGTCAATTGCACAGCGCAAGTTGTTGCCTAAGACAAATGACCACCTGTAAGACTTAGGCCCAGATGGGTGGATTAGCGACGATGGGGTTTGAGCCAAATATCAACCCGACTTACCCCATCTTCTCCTCTGTCTGTCTTCTCTCTCAGCAGTCCGGTTTCATTTCTGTAAGAAGCCCGATCAGCTTCTTACACCTATTGGTTACTAGAATGTGTGTGGTTCCGCAGCTGCCCACAGGCAGATTCTAAGATGAAATGGCACACCCTCCCCCCCACTCCCTCACCACCAAGCCACTGCCCGGATTATGTGTTGGTGAAATAAGGAATTGACTGAAATAAGGAATGTAAGCAATAGAAAAAAGTAAATGCTCCCTTTTCCATACGCAGGAAACAGCGGAAAAAGCTTCACGATCGGCTTCGGCAGAGTCTTCGGTCCGAGCGCAACAACATGGTCAACATCGCCAACGGGCCTCACCACCCCAACCCACCCCCCGAGAACGTGCAGCTGGTGAATGTATGTTGACTCTGGCTGTGGATACGCTGAGCATCTCCCCTCTGTTCAGGCACCTTGCAGTTTATTTTCTAAAGCTCTTAGCTGCTGCCATTAATCTCCGCGGCTTCCAGGAATCCAAGGTTTTGCCAGGAGAAAATAATGGGGACATTTTTTAAAGCGGATTTGGTTACTGTAAAACCAGCACATTTCCTCCCCTGAAGTGTTCATTAAGGGGTTGGAATAATAATGTTGGGTTTGTTCTGCGGGGAGGCCGTAGCTGGAAGAAAGAAAAGAAAAACACAAAGGAAAATTAGAAAATGAATGATACAAGAATCAGAAGGAAATGTTTTATTTTTCTAATTTGGAAATGAAGGCTGCTCCAGCCTCTCACTGATTAGTACTGAGAACGGAGCTGAGGGCTTTAGAGTGATTTTACTGGCGGCTTCACCGTGCCCGATGATTTGCGGATTCTGATTTACAAAGGAAGAAATTAGGGCAGGAAAGGTCAAGTGACTTATCAAACTTGCTTCTCAACAAAACTGGAGGAACATTTGCTTTCTATTCCCTGACTCTGTCTACGTGATGCCACACCCTCCTGATGAAACCTACCCTTCACCACTCAAGTCCTTTGTTTAAAATTTACCAGGCTTTGAAATATAACTGAGTCATAGAATATTAGATCCCGCAAAGTCTTTTGATATCACCTTCAAATCTTCCTTTTTTTTTATTTTTTTAACAGAGAAGGGCCAGAACTGGACTCAGTTTCCCTGGCTTTTGAAGTGTTGCTCTTTCTATTCCTATTCCACCCTCATTCTTCCTGTTTTCATCATTTCTTTCTGATTTTTTACTTTTTATAAGCAAAGCTTGAAGATTGTATTGCACTACCATTTTCTATTCTATAGAAAAAGGTATATTTTGTGTGGAGCAAATATATCATGGACCCAAGTTCAGAGTGGGTGGTTTCTAAACCACCAGTAAGTCTTGTAACAGAGACCTACAGGAGGCTGGTAGAGTCAGGTGCAGATACATTAGGATGCTTTGCTGCTTCCACCCCCATCAGTGCTCATTAGAATGATCTGCATGGTCGATCAATGCACTCACTACAGACACACCTATATGCTGTCACTAAGAAAGTTACAAGATGTAGGAAGTGGAATGACTGCCTGGATTCCATTCATGGCTCACACACTGTGTGACTTTAGGCTTTAACCTTTCTAAACCCTATTTGTTCATCATGAAAACAGGCCTAAAAATAATACTTACTTCAGAATGTTCTTGCTAGCATTAAATAAGAGAACCTACATAAAACACTTAGCCCAGTGGCATTTAATGAGTGTTGAATAAGTGTTAAATGTTATTTTCATTAGATACACTGAGCTTACACTGCCTTCCAGGAGAAAGAGTGAAATGGTACCCAGACTGGAAGTAGCTCATTATGTGTGACGCCACCATCTTTTCCTTAAAGCCAGCTAGCCGCACGTCCCAGGGATTCCACATGGAATAACCTTTCCTCCAAGAGAACCAGTTAGAATTTCAAGCATAATTTAAGTTGCATTTTTTTGGGTTTCCATGAATATATGAGGTTATTTTAGCGCTCACCGCCCATCAGATTACAAAACCCTATTTCATTTGAGGGTATTCTTTTCTTTGCCTCATCCTCTATTTAACTTAATTTGGTGTAAATACAAATAGTATTTAAGACAACTTCAGAATGTGCCTCTCCCGCTGAGAAGACAGTAAATAGCTACTGTGATTTGATGATGAAAATGAAATAGAATGTACTTGCACTGCATTTGGATCCTCTATGTATTATGTGCTTTCTCAGATGTGTGACCTTAACAACTTCTGTACATCCTTCCCATCTCTCAGTAGCCTCACTACTCTTACTACTGACAATTTAAAAATTCCAGTGGTATCATTTGGGCAATGTAGACACTAGGAAATTGTAAAACAGTGGTAGATCCAAAATATAGAGACTTTAAACAAATTCTTCTTTCACTTGTAACAACCATGACAAAAAAAAATGAATATTGGACAAATATTTTTACTGAATTCTAGTCATGTTATCAACTAGAAACAAACTAAAAAAAAAAATGGATAATGAGCAGTTCTGACTGTAGGACCTCTATTGAGAACACGTCCAAAGAGTAACTTATTAACTCCACTCACTGAATCTAAAGGCCACAGTAACCAGAATAGGATTTTCCATCTGGACATTGGAGAAAAGAAATTTATTATGAAGAAATGTACTGTTTATTATGTGTGCTAGAACAGATATTTTTGTGTGACAGTGCTAATGTTTTGACTTACCTGAATCTTCAAGTTGTGTCTCTTTGTTTATCCAGCAATACGTATCTAAAAATGTCATCTCTAGTGAGCATATTGTTGAAAGAGAAGTGGAGACATCTTTTTCCACCAGTCACTATACCTCTACAACTCATCATTCCACTACTGTCACCCAGACTCCGAGTCACAGGTATGAGAAAAAAACAATTGTGTGGTTCCTCCGGGAATGAATTTTTGTCAATTTCCTTGTGCTGTCATTGCCTAAGAAAGGCACAGGACACATGTATGGGGCAGTGAAGTATAGTTAAATGTATGCTGTGGGACAAAAACAGACTTTGGACATCACCTGGCTCTGCCATTTGATTGCTGTTTAAATTTGAGCCTTCATTTTTTTCATCATCAAACAAGGGGAAATGAGACCTACCTCGAGAGTTGTTCCCTATTTTAGAGATTGTCTTTACTCTTGCCCAACCACTCACTGAATTGCTATACTGGGAAAACTCTGTCTTAGATGCTACATCATACTTAGAAGTTGACTTCTCCCATTGATTGAATTTCCCTGGGAAATACACATGAGAAATCGATTAAATAGGTGAACCCTAAATTAGCAAATGCCCTGGTGACCAATATCTGAGTGCAACCAAAGGCAACACTAGACTTCCAAATGTAGCTCACTTGGACAAATATTTCCTTAACCTAAGCTGTCAAGATCAGAATGATTATAAGAACACTTAGCACATAGTGATATTTGATAAATGTGTTGAATGAGTGAACAAACGAATAACCTGTGTCCTTACAAAACCAATCTAAATCAAGATCCTTTCTATAGCAAGTGTCTTTATAACAATTCTATTCTGAGACAAGTTATGTTATAGTGAATGACTGATGCATGGACAATTTGAAATGTTTGTCTGGTCATTCTCTTCATTTCCATTTTTGCACATAATTTTCTAAAAAATATCTTTGCCTTCCACATTTCCCCTCTAGCTGGAGCAACGGACACACCGAAAGCATCATTTCTGAAAGCCACTCTGTAATCATGATGTCATCAGTAGAAAACAGTAGGCACAGCAGCCCAACTGGGGGCCCAAGAGGACGTCTTAATGGCATGGGAGGCCCTCGTGAATGTAACAGCTTCCTCAGGCATGCCAGAGAAACCCCTGACTCCTACCGAGACTCTCCTCATAGCGAAAGGTAAAACTGAAGGGCAAAGCTACTGCAGAGGAGAAAGAACCCCAGTAAGCGAACCCCCATGAGCACCTGCGGTCTCACCTAAGGAAATCTACTCTAATGAGAATAAGGGGCAGCAGTTGCCTGTTCTAGGAGTGCTCCTAGTTGATGAAGTCATCTTTCTGTTTGACTGAACTCATTTCTTCTGAGCTTCTCACCTCGTCCCAGTGGCCAACAGGCAACAGACTCTTAACGAGCTGGAATGATTTGATGTGGAAGGTGCAGCCAACTTGGAGTTCCTAGGTCCGGCCTTAGGCTCAGCCCCACTCGGGATTTGTTTCCTCAGTTGTCACTTTAGAGAGATGGCACCAGTGATTGATAAGGACCCTTCTAGAATTCCAATTTGCCAGTTATCCAAACTCTAGTCGAACTGACCTCGTGTTCTCATGTGCTAACTCGTCTTACCTTCCAGCCTCAGTTAAATCAAATCAAGGGCTATGTCACTGCTGACTCTCATGGGGAACAACTGCTTGCGTTCCACCATAGATGATCCCTTTTATGAAATTCCAAGAAGGGATGAATAAATAAATCTTTTATATGCTGCGTCTGACAGTCTTCACAGGTGGTTTTCAAAGTAGATATTGCCTCTCATAAGGCCCTTTATTCCAGAATGTTTTGGCTTTTTTTCTGGGGGTATTGGATTGGGTTGGGGAATTATAGGAAAGGTAAAATAAAGAACAGAGGAAAGTAAACTGAAAGAGATGCTTTATAGAAATACTAAATTTATAGATTCTCTATCCATTTTCACCTAAACTGGGAGAGAGTTATACCCAACCAGCATTTCTAGCCTACCAGTAAGCTGTCACTTGTTTGTTTTCAAATCCAGAGGGGTTTTGTCTGCTTGTTTACTGTATCATCTCAGTCTAATCTTTGACCATTTGTTCAAAGCTTTACATAATGTCAAATATGTATTTGGTATTTACATGGGTGGAAATAGTTTGGTAGACTCTTTCCACTCTTCGCTTGGGAAGTACTTAAGACAAAAGATGACCAGTTTGGGGCTTATAGGTCATATAGAACCTGCTAATCACTTCTCCAATGGCCTTTCTATGAAATATCCCAAACTGGTATTTCAAAGCTTTATGGAATTAAAGGTTGCTCTGTTCATGGATGAAAAATAAGGCATTGTCCAAAACTGGTTTAAAACATTACTCTTAGATATACATATAATTATACATTTGTGTATTTAAAAAGTCTATCTATTCTGTTTTAGTCTTTTTTGAAACCTGAAAGAGTTTAGGGATCAATTCTTTCTTACTACATGTGACATTTATCTTTAAAGAATGACATTTCCCTACTGTGGTAGACTTCCTTGAATATCCCAGATAGTCTCTAGAATCATGAAAAGATAAATCACTTTTATGTGTTTGGTTAAATTTGGATTAGCATTTCTCAGAGAGCTAAAGTTAAGTACTCATAAAGCAAAAAGTCTGAAGATTCAGGCCCCAAGTAGTTCAACCTCTAGACACTCTCCCATTTTAGACACAGCTAGGTCTCACATTCATATAACTCTGAATCATGGCTGAAAGCAGGAAAGTTAATAGGTTCCTGTTAGCTAATGTTCAGATGGTGCTGTCCTGAGTCATCACAGGTCGTGTCAAATTAGACTCTGAGAACACCAATGTGAAAAAAAGAGTCATCTAGCGCTATGCATCGGTAACATTTTTATCAAAAGCTGAGAAATGTGACTGTCAATAAGCCACATGTCTTCTCCAGTGCCAAGTCAGGTCTTCTTATTCCCGGGGGGATAAAGCATGATATGGTAAAAACATTGCACTCAATGTCTTAACAAAAAGATTCAATGAGCATTATCAGCCATAACATGACATAAGGTAACATGGTACAGCAGACCTTGAGCAGTCACAAAGATGAGCCAAAGACTGATGCAGCTCTAAGCTTTGGAAGAAAGGTAGACCAGAGATTGTTTAATATACTGTGAAGCCAATGTAAGGTTCTCTCAGGCTTACCTTTGGATGTCTTGGTCACTGGGATGGATAGTTGCAAATTGAATGTTAAGAAGTAGCATTTCATGGAAAAATTTAAAGCACACAAATATGTTACACTGTTATCAAGAATAAATCTAAGTCACTATGCTCTTTTTTTTTTATAAGACATAACCTTATAGCTGAGCTAAGGAGAAACAAGGCACACAGATCCAAATGCATGCAGATCCAGCTCTCAGCAACTCATCTTAGATCTTCCTCCATTCCCCATTTGGGCTTCATTCTCTAAGACCCCTTGGCCTTTAGGAAGGTATAGTATTTAAGTAATACTTCTTTCCCTTACAAATCCCTCAGCCTTGGTCCTTACAAACTAACAGGTTCCCAGGACCTCGTGCCCTCTAAACTTGACTCATGTTTTTATTTACAATCATGATGAGATTGAAAATCCTTAAAGCTTTGATGAGCTAGGCCATGTAGCTGATCTGTGCATGTACTCCTGTAAGGAAACTCTTGGCTTCATAACTTGAGATTCCAAGGGTACCGAATGTCCTAGTGTAAAAATCCAAGAAGTATACGATGAACAGAAATTCTTTGTTCTCTGATTATATAATATCGTGACCTCTGTCCCCTTCCCCTCCCTACTCTATGACTCCTCTTATTCCACCACACTTATGCGGGGTATTCTGTGCTCACACAGGTATGTGTCAGCAATGACCACCCCGGCTCGTATGTCACCTGTAGATTTCCACACGCCAAGCTCCCCCAAATCGCCCCCTTCGGAAATGTCTGCACCTGTGTCCAGCACGACGGTGTCCATGCCCTCTATGGCAGTCAGCCCCTTTGTGGAAGAAGAGAGACCTCTGCTTCTGGTGACACCACCACGGCTGCGGGAGAAGTATGACCACCACCCTCAGCAATTCAACTCCTTCCACCACAACCCCGCGCATGAGAGCAGCAGCCTGCCCCCTAGTCCCTTGAGGATAGTGGAGGATGAGGAGTATGAAACGACCCAGGAGTACGAGCCAGCTCAAGAGCCTGTTAAGAAACTCACCAACAGCCGGCGGGCCAAAAGAACCAAGCCCAATGGCCACATTGCCAACAGGTTGGAAATGGACAGCAACACAAGCGCTGAGAGCAGTAACTCAGAGAGCGAAACAGAAGATGAAAGAGTAGGTGAAGCCACCCCTTTTCTGGGCATACAGAACCCCCTGGCAGCCAGTCTCGAGGCAGCACCTGCCTTCCGCCTGGCCGAGAGCAGGACTAACCCAGCAGGCCGCTTCTCGACACAGGAGGATCTGCAGGCCAGGCTGTCTAGTGTAATTGCTAACCAAGACCCTATCGCTGTATAAAAACCTAAATAAACACATAGATACACCTGTAAAACTTTATTTTATATAATAAAGTATTCCACCTTAAATTAAACAATTTATTTTATTTTAGCAGTTCTGCAAATAGAAAACAGGAAAAAAAAACTTTTATAAATTAAATATATGTATGTAAAAATGTGTTATGTGCCATATGTAGCAATTTTTTACAGTATTTCCAAATGAGAAAGATATCAATGGTGCCTTTATGTTATGTTATGTCGAGAGCAAGTTTTGTACCGTTACCGTGATTGCTTTTCCACAGTATTTCAGCAAAACCTCCCATATATTCTGTTTTCGCTGGCTTCTTGTGCATTGCATTATGATGTTGACTGGATGTATGATTTGCAAGACTTGCCACTGTTCCTCCGTTTGCTTAAAGTAGCACCCAATCAGTACGTCTTGTAATGGCACATCCATCCAAATACTCCTCTCTTCTGTACGAAGTTTTCTTTTGCTTTCAGTCTATGAAATGAGTCGTGTCTACTCTGCCAGCCAAAGGTTTGCTTCACTGGGCTCTGAGATAATAGTAGATCCAACAGCATGCTACTATTAATTACAGCAGGAAACTGCATTAAGTAATGTTAAATATTAGGAAGAAAGTAATATTGTGATTTTTAAAATAACTATATTATTCATCAGAAGACAGCTTGCTCTCACTAAGAGGAGCTATCACTTATTTTATTTCAATTTATTTTTCTTGACAAAAAAGCCACAGTTTGGAGGGTAGCAGAGAAAATGGGGTCTGGCTTGCTATTAGGGTAAGACCAACACCTTATCAGAGGACTCAATGTCACTTTCTCTCTGGGGGAATGACACAACGGCACATCTAGTTGAAGATCAAACCAGGGCTGGGCAAGGTGCAATCATTCCTGACTTGCATTTTTCACTGATTTTGGAGCTAGTGATTGGTTCTGTCTTCTTGGCTTGAAAGAGACATGCGATGGCACAAACACCCCAGCTCCAACAGCACACTCAGCACTTGTCTGAAATGCCTAGAGGGAAACGTGCCTGCTGTGCCTAGTGGTGACTGGTCATCATAGGGAAATAGAGTGTCCAGAGGAGGGATTGGTAGAAGACACAGGTGGAGGGCTGATGTGTGGCATGGGTTGCAATTTTAAACAGTTTTGTTGACCACTCCTTTCTCCTCATTAGTTTCCTCTTGCTTTTCAATGTCGCCTTGATTAGGTCATGACTATGCATGAACAGTTTTGTCAGGAATGGCCAGCATGCATGTGATTTGTGACTAGTAAGAACATTCTGAGAGTGATGCTTCATCAGGCAACATCAATAGTGTTGGAAAGATTGCACCTTTCCCTGCAGAAACACGACCCCCTCCTGTGTACTGACCTCTTGATTCCCAGCCTGTATCACCCATTTCCTCCTTTGTTTTTGCTTTACTCTCGCAAAACAGGACTAAGATGGGTCTAAACTTTGCATGTTCTCTTGGGATTGTAAATCCAAGGAAGGCCTATAGGTATTAACATTTGAAAGAACTGCTAATTCAGGAAAACAATAGCTTTTTGTAAAAATTGCAGGCTCCCATTTTACCTGATACCTGCCGAATCTGGCTGGAGCTTTACTGAGGTTCCAAGTAGACTCCTGGGAGCCATGTGAAAAAATGGGGAACAGGTTAGCAAGGGGTCCAAAATACCAGGGGTGAAGTCAATGCTGCTTGTTGGCAGGTGAACTGAACCTATTTCTTCACCAAATTTCTATGTTAAAGGTTAAGGGGAGAAGATACATGCAGGTAGGTCTTAGAAGAAAAATGTAGGCTGGGCATGAGTCATGTCATTGAGCTCCTACATGTTTCTACAATCCACAGAGATGCCTGATTGATTGCAGGTCTTTAAAGTTACTCTGAGTATTTGATATCCCAGGCTGCCCTTCACTGTTCACATATCACTTCCTCTGTGCCCAGCAGTGCCCTCATCAGCTTGTTAATCCACATGGAGGGGCCCCTGTCAGGCTGCACAAGTTGCACTGATTTCCCAGGTCTGTAGACATGAGTAAGCTCACGGCAGGAGGAAGAAGACAGTCAACCCAAAGAGGTTCTATAAGTTATTCAAATATTGCCTTTGAGTCAGTCTTGGACTATTTCCATAAAAAATTCCTATCACAAATTAAAACTACAACTTTTGCTTCTAATTCTACAGACTTAGGAGTATTCACATGTCTCATTCTGAATAATTTCAAGAATAAATAAAATCTATCGAGAGCAATGAACAACATGAAAATTGTTGTAAATTTTCAGGTTACAAAATATATATGAAAACCTAGGATAAGAGGAAAGTTTCTTTCCAATTTGATTCTAGTCACTCACAGAGGGGGGGCGTTATTCGGGACAGCATTACCTGTAAAACAAGAGCTTCCCTTGATAAGAAAGGCCAGCTGACTCCTCAGGGCTACCTTCTGCGGCCACCGGATTTGTGTTCACAGGGGCATCTCTATGATGTTTAACTGCCACGTGGCTCTCAACCACCCACCCTGTTTATAAACTCAGGCAGTGCTGTGGCCATTCAAAGGAGGGTGAACCTGTGTTCCCAGCGAATGAAAAGCTTCTGTGGGTTTTTGGGTAATTGCCCAGAAGTTCCACAGCCGCTCTGCCCCCTGGAAATCATGTCCTAATGAGGGGTATGCAGTGGAACATAGTATATGCAAACTTCTTTTTCTCACTCGAGATTCCTTTACTATCCTACTCTCCCTTCTTGCCTGGTATGACTTTTTTCCAAGAGTACCTGGACAGCCTCATGCTTTCTACAAACTAACACTCTACCAGGGTGTATGTGAATGTTTTTCAGACACCAACATGCTGTAGCTTCCTTGTTTAAGTGTGACTGTCTTGATACAGGTGGAGTTTATCCAGGGTAACTTGCTCAGTAATTATTCCTATTTTTTTCTGGCCTGGAGTTAAAAGGGGCACAGCTCACATTGGTGAAAATAAGGAAGGCTAGTTTTATTATTTAGCACTGGCTGCATTCCACCAGCCACAGAGATGAGATTTCTATCTACAAAGGCCCATGAAAAACTGAAGAGAAATGCAGGCAAAGGGAAATGGCCACATTTCACAAGTTCTATTATATATTCTTTTGTAAATACACCATGTACATTACTTAGATGTTTTCCTAAATCATTTACTGTCTTTATGAGTTAATGTCAGAATTTTACTCTCTCAACTTACTGTATAACATTGTAAATAACATAATGTCCTTTATTATTTATATTTAAGCATCTAACATAGAGTTGTTTTCATATAAGTTTAAGGTAAATGTCAAAAATATATGTTTTTTGTTTTTCTTCACTTTAAAATTATGTATCTTTTTCTTTTTTTAAAGAATAATTTATTGTTCAGGAGAAAGAATGTATATGTAATTGAAACTATTTGAAGAATGCACATTTGAAAGCCGTGGGGGTACTGATAAACTAAAGAATTCCTTATCCAAAATACTAAGCAATAAGTAATTGTGATTTATTTAAAGTTTTGTTCATTTTCCATGAACGAAATACTGCAATAAAAATGCCACTCTGTGGAGACCTGGGAGTGTTGCTCAGCAGACTAACGTTTCAGTCTGTTAGACCAGCACCTTTCGTGTTCCTGCGACAGATGTGCTAATATAGGAATGTGTTCCATGGACCCCACATCATCTTGTCTGTGCTTTGCTTTGGCCTCACTGTCTATTCTTGAGTCATCTGCTGCCTATTGATTCTTCTTGCCACTGTATTCCTTGTTTAAGGGGCCACACCCAAGCAATATGATGCCACCCCCCCACCCAATACACACAATAGCATGTCAGAGAGGACATTCTAGGCATGATCACTGGGTCTTGGTTGTTAACATGTTCTGTAGTAACAGCAAGAAACTTCTTCAGACTAATGGAAATGTCAACATGGCAACCCATGCAGTCATGAGAGGAAAACTTGTAATTATCATTCAAATAGTCTGATGGCCACCATGGCCTCAAAGCAGCCAGTCAGAACCTGGCCATGCTAAGCTTCCTATCGCTTCAGTCAATTTATTTTCCATCAGGCTCTTAATTTAATGATTCACTGTTTTAAGAGGAGATAAGGCTAAATTGGGCTCATTCCCCTTGTTCTATCAATAAGTTAAACTCAGTGTCCATCTTACTCCTCAGGGAAGGGCGTATGCATGAGAAATGTCCCATATCCTAAAACTCACAGAAATGAGGATATTACTTTTCTTACTGAAATTAGCCTAAACAAAAGCCATATTTTAACGAATAGTTATTTGCATGGGTGGTACTCTTTATATATTTCAAGCATTTTACTCAATATTCCAAACAGGATAAGGGCAAGAAGAGGTCAGCAATCCTTTGGGGTATACAGTGGCCCCCTTTGAAGTCTGATGATACCTGAGGCTTCCCATCAACATCACATACAGCCAAATTAAATATCTGGATAATTGTTACTATTCTCCATTCACTTCAACCCTGTAGACTCTTGCATGTCAAACACATGATTCATGTTACCTACCAACAGTTCCAGTAGTGTCCTCTCCAAAACAGTCTGGATGTCTAGAAGAGTCAGAGTGAACTTTATGCTAGTTTTACTATTTACATTACTAAATTTTCAAAACTATTCAGAAACCTCGCACTTGTGTCAACTGTGATTTACATGCACACACACACACAAATGCTGAACACACACTAACCCAAAGCCACCACATTCTTTCACCTATTCAATTAAGAAAATCAAGGATTGAGCAGAATTTAAAAATTAAAGATGAAGGCATTTTCCTATGTCTTCAAATTTAAGCTGAGGCTTTGACCATCTCCCAGATTGAAAACTACAAGCTGTCTTAGTGATTTCTGTTTAAAATTGGGTACCAAAGCTATATTTGAGGCAGATGCATGTATGGTGGAGGGAGGTATGGAGAGAGTGAAGATACACATATAGCCAAATTAAATATCTGGATAATTGTTACTATTCTCCATTCACTTCAACCATGTAGACTCTTGAATGTCAAACTCAGGCCAGCTCTCCAAACTAGCAAACAATCTATCTTTCCAATGTAGTGTCTTCCCCATCATTTGATTTCTTTGCTCTCTGTCCTGATGATTAATGATAAGAGGACTCAATGTTAAGGATTTGGGGTTAAGAGAGGCAATTCTGAAATCTAGAGATTTAGGATGCTGGAAGGAATGGGCGTTGTTTGGCCTCATGTGAATCAGTCTGCACTCCATCTTTGGCCAGCCCTCCCTGAAATGGATAGCATGAAATAAACTTATGAAAACTATTAGTCCAAATGATTAATTTGGTAGGAAATAGAAATGCTTTCAGTTTATAAAAGACAGAACCATCCTACTGCTACAAAAACAGCAGTATTTCTAACCTTTCCGGCTGTTGTTGGTCAATTAGCTGGGCCCAATCCTCCATGTTATGCTCCTGTTGACATCCTGAGACTGCGGTTGTTGTACCTCTCTGGTGAGCTATTGGTTTTGCACTTCAGTGAGTTCCAAAATATCATCCATAAGGAAAATAGGAAAGGACTTTGTTACCTGGAGGAAAACCATCATGATCTACCTGATTCTTTTAAGAACAGAGTAGGAGAAGGAAACCAGTAATTCCTAAAGAGGAGACAAAATGTGGCAATGGTTCCACCCAGGATCTTTTTCTAACCCTTCCCCTTCAAACTGACTTATTGAGACAATTTGATGGAGGAAACAACATCCCTTCCCACCCCACAGCATGCTGAAGAGGTTAGAGAATTATTTGTAGATGTAAGCATCATTTATAGCTTGTATAGATTTGCTCATAAGCAGAAAAATAACCTGTTAAGTATAAGTAACATTTTATCACATTTTATGACTTAAAACATCCTTTATCTCCTTTTCATTCTCACTTTTGACCTTCTAGGATATTGATATAATACATGATGAGGACAATTTAGGCTCAGGGAAGTAAAAATCTTTACTGAAGCTACACACAAGTGAGTTGCAGAGATAATAGTAATATCAAAGTTTTCTGACTACAATTCTTATTTCTACTGACCATACTCCTCCCAACCCTCTGACCCAAGAACAAACAAATCTTTCATTTTTGATTTTTGATTACATGGACAGTACATGTTACAACCAAAACCAAGTTCCTATTTGAAAGACAGAGAGCCCCTCTGACTTAGGTTTAGAGATACTCTAGAACCCAATTTGCTTGGCTCTATGTACCTTTCCCTAAACAGAGCTTCCTAAGGAAATGAAGTGTAGCCATGGGAATGAATTCTCAGTTTCAATATGTAGGTAACACCTGCAGCAGAAAGAGTATAGCACTTAGCAACTTTGTGAATTTGCACGATTTCCTTCTTCAAGCTTATTTCCCGATCTCTAACATGGCAATTCAACGGACTTCACAAGGCTGGGATGTGGTGGCGATAAATTTGAGCACATGTAAGGAAGCCATAAAATGTCCACCCCATAGTGATTTTCAAATACTACCTTTCATTGCTTTTTCCCTTCCAGATTCTTAAGATTTGGAACCTAAGTTTCTCAGTTCTAAATGACATACTCTACATTGCACACACTGATCAAATAAACATATCATTTCTCCAGTGTAGTAAGCAATTATTTGCAACAAGGAAATTCCCTTTTTATAAGAACTATATGTTGTGCAGCATAATCACTAACCAGCATTAAAGTTGCAGCTCAATAACTTCATGTATTTTACGTTTGCTTCTTGTGTAGCCATACCGTTTTACATGAAGTCTCTAATTTCAGTGTCTTATTCTATTAATGTTTCATTATAATTCACAGAAATTTACTAAGACATAACTCTTTATACAGTTTTCATAATTCCACCTTCAAACTTCATTGCAAATATCTACTAAGACAAACAGACAAAAAGATCCTAAATATATAGGATGCCTATGCACACCATTTGCCTTAGTTTGCACCCAGAATGTTTAGACATATTTCATTTTTTAAACTGTAGTCCAAAGGCCCAGCAAAAGGTCTGCCTGCAGGGCAACAACATCAGAGGAGTTAAGTCTCAGATTAATTCCTAAACGTAAGTAACCACTTGGTTTATAGATGTTTCTCAGCTGCTCCCATTACCCAACCAAAAGTTTTTAAGGTTCTACTCACTCTTCACTCTATGCATAAAACAGAATTCTTGTCTTGGGTCCAAAGCAATTAATAATTTATAGATTTACGTTTGTTTGATTCAATCCTTTAAAATTTTATTCTCCATCAAGGGTGGCAGGTGGCTTGGTCTTATGATATATATCACCAGGCTCATGGCATAGACATTGTTAATAGTAAGAGAGTCTCATATAATTGTCCACATAGCATCCTTCATTTAAATAAAAATGTATTGCATTGAAATAAAGTTGTCTTTATGTTTTAAAAAATAAGGAAGTTTTCTTATTTTTTAAAAAATAATCTAGATATAAGCATTATATTTCTTAATTATAAATTACCATCATGAGTTAAGCTAACACTTGTCTTCTATTCTGTGACTTTCATTAGGTGAATCCTTCTTGCCTGATCTTGAGCCCTTCTTTTGAAGTGAGACACTCAGAGAGACTTCAGGTTAGGGTCATTTTCTAGAGCCCTTCTCATTTCTCACAGTTGAGTCTAACATGAACTTTTCATCTTCACCATTGGTGTGTACTTTACTAATCAATAAGGTTATAAAACAGACAACTTCCTCTTGGGTCCTAGAGCCTCACCATGAAGAATAAGGATGATAGGAAATGCCACGTGGGAGAGCCACTTGTTCTGAGCTCCTCAATTCTCAGCAGCCAGGTTCCTTCCAGTTGTGAGATGAATCTGACATCATACAAGAATGTCTCCACAAAGACCTCACTCTCCCTTTAGATTTTCTCTTTTTTTGCAAAACAAAGGCCTCCCTAGTAACTCCTTAGTTCATAGCCCTTCTTTGATCCCTTTGATTTCAAAACGTCTGAAGTCATAAAGCCATATAACTTCACACTCTGAACATAGTCAGAAACTATGGGATTTAGGATTTAAAGTGATTTTATGAAACTAGAAGTCCTTTTTTATTTGATGTAGTCCACTTTGAAAACTTGAAGACAAACCACACAGCATTGCATCTTCTCCATTATCTGCTTGACTAAATTGTCTTTCACAATGTGAAAAGATGCTTACTCCACCACACATTTTGAGTTCTGCTTTGTTTGAGGAGTTAGATCTCTAGTCAGGAATCTGAGGGAAGAACCTTGGATTCTTCCTGCTAAAATGTTAACACCAACCTATTGAAATGTACAGCTCCAGTTAGAGTCAAAATCATGTCAATTATCAAGCAAAGAAGCAAGTAAGGGAAAATAGCCCCTCATCTGGTTAAGAGAAAACATTGACCATACTAGAACCTGAGCAATATTCTAGGTCTCTTCCTCCATATCTAACCAGTGATAATGGTGACTGTACCATGGATATGTCAAACACACCCCTCCCTCCCTTCAGAGCCCCACTGCTTCACCCTTGGTCAGCCTCTTCCATTGGGCCCCATTAGCCTCCTAACTGGTCTGCTTCCTTCAGCTCCTATGGGACATCCTTCACATTCTGCTAGAAAGTTCTCTTATAAGTTGCAAACCTTATTGAACCATTCTCCTGGTTAAAGCTTTCCATGTCTCCCCATGAAGCTCAACTCCTCAGCCTGACCCAGGATGCTCTTCACAGGCCTATTTCTGCCAAACTCTTGTAGCTTGGCATCCATTCTCACCCTTCATTCCATCTTATGACTTCCTGTTTCCCAAATACACCACACCGGTGTTTATCAAACTCTGTTCATTGGCAGATCAACTTCATGGTGATTGTCGTGTCCACAGTACCACCTGTATTATTTTTTGCATATTGTGCTCATTAACCTCATTTTTAACTAAAATAAAGTCATTTCAAATGAAACTTTGTATCAAAGCTGTGAATGGAAAACAAATCAGTTGCCACAATAAAAATAAAACTGTAAAAAATTTATATAATAAAAACTGAACAGTGTAATTAAGTTCTAAAAAGATCATGTTGACCGCTATCATGTCTGAGTCAAAACCTGCTCTCTGACAAAAAGGGAGGCCAGCAAGTGTTAGAGCGATGGGAAATCTATTTGGGAAACAGAAGGATTGGTGCATTGAGGTTTATTTCATGCTAGTTCTTAAAATCATTTGGGATGCAACATTCAGTCACCCACATATCTTAAACAACCACACAGTGTTGTGCTTGTTATAAATCCCTGCCCTGGTGTAGACCACATCACTTTACAGAAACTCCCTTCTCCACTTATCCTTCCAACAAACCTCTCTACTCTTTCCCCGAGTAAAGAGGGTGTCCTTGTTTTGGAATCCTTCCATGAAATTTCTACCTTTTCCAGATGTAAAGGGCTCCTCCTTTGCTGTCTCATAGCACACCATAGTATTTTTTCATCTAGCTCACAACTTCTGATTAACTGAAAGTCCTCCCCTAGGAGGTCATGTACTCTTGAGGGCATTGTTCTCTACGTACATCCAGTGCCCAGCTCAGTGCCTGGAAGATGGCAGATGCTGAATATCTAGAAAATAAATCACTGGCAACTAGAGTTCAGGATATTTACAGAGGCTGACAAGCATGTGAGGAATCTGGGTGATCACAGGCATTTTTAAAACCAACATCAAGAAAATGGTAGCCTGTCGGTCATCAAAACAAAGTTAGAAGCCTAAGAGAGGGGAAAGAAATTTGCTAAGACAATTAGAGGTCAGAGTCTAAGAGACAGAGCCCCATGGTAGATTAGATTTTATAGTGAATACATGACTACTTCATGTACCTTTCTCATTTGATTTTGACTTCCTCTCCATGGCTTAAAATTAGCCCTTCATATCTATTCTCCCTTTTCTCCTCCACTTCTTTGAAAGACCCTGGAAATAACGCCTTTTAATTATTACTGTTCAACTAGATCAGTTTTATAAAGAAGTCTCACCATGCAGAATAAGGAAGATAGGAAATGCCATGTGTGGGAGCCACGTGACTATTGCATTTAAACCAACCTAAGTCCCTAATCATTTGAAAAGGTACAAAGAAAGCCTTGCATATAACAAGCTTTCAAAAAAGTTTTTTAATGCACAGTTTGAGTAAAATATTAAACCAACATGCTCTAGAAGTCGGTGGAATATATAATTTGTCATTCCAGATAGAAGGGCAATTTGCAAGACTGAGTATTCAGTGATATTTCTGTATTTCTGGATGATTCTGTTTCACAGGTTAATGTAATATAACTAGATGCAAGGGAGAGAAAAAATAATCTACCTTTGACCATACAAGATTTCTTTTCCCAATAGTTTACCTAGTCTAGAAGTGCAGTCTTCTTGATCAATTAAAAAGAGATCTGTCAGATGGTCTATTTAAAAGTAAAGCTTTTATTGTGGTTGTTTATCTTAGTGAGTCTAAGACTGACCTCGAATTTAGTTACCCAAAGATTAAAATAATATAACCATGTACAGAGTAGTTAAGTTTTACTGGTTAATGTACAAGTTCAGAAATATGGTGACCTACTAATGGAAATTTATGCAACTTTAAACTTCAGAAGAAAATGGATAGGAAACGCTTACAGAGACTTTTTTTTTTAATTTTAGTGCATTGGGGTATCACTGACAGTGAACTTATCACAGCTGCAACCCCTGATGAATTCTATGTTTGTCACACTCAGAACTAATCTCCTTTGCTGTCTATTTGGTGATGCCTGACGGGGCCAGCATTGTGCACAGCATCATGGTAGCAGATACCGCATTGCCCCTGACATCATCAATTCTGCACCTGAAATGTACCAGGTCGATAAGGAGACATTGAAGTATGACTATCTCAGGAGCTTGGACATGATTAAATATATGAGGTCAGAATATCCCAGCTCCAAGACGAAATTACTGGTTAATTTTCCTTATAAAATCAAGGTCCAAAAGATTTTGAATAAGCCATTTAGATTATTATAACTCTTCCCTTTGAACTCACATCTTAAATATGTAAAAATATTGAGCTTTCCCATAATTTCCCAGCCAATAACGTGAATAAGGTGAAGACTTGAGAAGAGCAACTGGCCACTCTTTGGTCGTCATTTGGCCCTGCTGCTACTCAGACTTAAAGAAAATGTGAGGAGTAGAAACCTTCTGCTCTTTCTTGCCCATATTCATATACCCACATTCCATTCTGAAAGCTGGAAAGTATAGTGAAGCTCTCCCTAGACCCAGCCTACATTATGATACAAGAATAATATTGTGTAGCCCAGCTGGCATGGCTCAGTGGTTGAGCATTGACCTATGAACCAGGAGGTCACAGTTCAATTCCAGGTCAGGGCACAAGCCCAGGTTGTGGGCTTGATCCTCAGTGTGGGGTGTGCAGGAGGCAGCCGATCAGTGATTCTCATCATTGTTGTTTCTATCTCTCTCTCCCTCTCCTTTTCTCTCTGAAATCAATAAAAAATGCACATATTTTTTTAAAAGAATAATATTGTGTAAAAAACATGAATTCTGAAACCAACAAGGTCTGGGTTTGAGTCCTTCCTCTTATACTTGGGAAATTTGGGCAATTTAACATCCATAAGCCTTGGATTCACTGTGCGGCTTCAGCAAGAAAATTATTGTATGTGCCGGCTTTCATAAGGTACTTTGCCACATAGTGAGTGCTCAATAAATATCACATCTTTATTGGTGGTAAATTTCTTGTGTAGGAAAGCTAGCTTGTATGGCAATGAGAAGGGGATAGACAGTGCTCCAAGCTTAGCAACCCAGCTAGCTTTGGTTCGTCCTGGCCTGCCTGTGGAGAACTCCCCTGGGAAAGCTAGTTGAGGGAGGGTGTGTGCCATCAGAAAGCTGGGTTCCAGGTTCTGCCACCAAAATAGAGTGTCCTTTTGCTCACCCAGCTACACCAAAACACAGGAAGGCAAACTTCCACAGAGCTGAGTTAGCCCAGTGAAGCAGATGTTTCTTTTTCCCTGAGAAAACAGTTTTACAAATTCAGAAATGGAAATGAGAGTTCGCTCCATCCAATTAGCAGGAGCTAATTCAGATTTCAAGGTCATTGTGCACCGTGTACTCCTCCACATACCCAGTGCTTTGGCTTCACCCCCTGGTGCACTCTGGTTTTGTAGCACAGTGTCCCTGTGCACATTGTAAACAATCACAATTTCCATTTTAGGATTTCATCTCCTGGTGATGTGCTGCAGTCCCCAGTTTTAGGGAATTGATGCTTGGCAAACGATTAAAGGTTTCACAGATTATGAAGGTCATGGCACAGTTTTCTCCTGCCTTATGGCTTAATTTAATTAGATCTCCTGTAATAGCTCAGCAGCAAAATTGTGCTGCAGAATGGGCTCCAATTTGCCCACAGGCAACCTCAAGAGCAGAGCTAATATGAGATATGCTGGATGACT